CTCCATCTCCCAGCCATCGAAGCTCCCTCGTTCGGTAATAAATGTTAAATTATTTATTGCGTAATTTTTTTCTAACATATTAAACTTCATATTTTTTGTTCTTATTATTTAACATATTAAATTTTATATCATTTTAAATTTTTTCAAATTTTTAAACATATCTAATATATTATATTTGAATAACAAAAATTATAAATAATTATAAATTAATGTCCTTTTTGGTTATTATATATTTAAAAGCATAAATCATCATTAACCTAAATAACTTTCAATTTATCAAACTAATTTTTTAAAAAAATATATTCAAATATAAATTTTATTATAACAAATAACTTTTATTTTTAATTTTTGCTAAATAAATTTTTAACAAACTAAAAATCAAACACATTTAATCAGGGTTGCCCTCTTTGTAATCATTGCATTGCATTATTTCACTAGAAGTATGCATGCATGTATACATACATACATACATACGATTTAATAATAATACACTATTGGGTGATATATAAAACTAAAAATCATATATTAAAATTTGAAATAAATGATTAAATAGCAAGTGAATTATGGGAAACAACGGGTTTTGGACTTTGGGGCTTCTAACATGCCTCCAGCTATTACTTTTTGTAATGTCCCATCCTTTAAATTTTGTTTTTCTTATGATAACTAGTTTCTATATAAAATAAAAAAATATTTTGACAGGAAAATAATAATTTTTTAAAGAGAAAAATATCACAACGATACAATTTTATAGTATTTTCCAGAAAAATTATCTATAAAAAAATACATAGTTTCAAAATAGAAATATACTAAAATCCCTCTCTTTTTTAATATGTTTATTTGACTAAATGAAATTCTAATATTGCCGAACTCAATTATGAGTTACTCCCCAGCAATATTTTTTACATTCACACAAACTTGAACTCAAACCTTGAATTTAAATGGCTATATCTTCTTCCACCAAGACCAATATACCTACTAGTAATGTCTCTCATTTGATGTAAAAGCTAATGGTGAAAAGAAAGCATAGAAACAAAATTGAAAATAATAGAAGACGTGACAAAAATATTAGAAATATGAAGGTGTGGGAAGAGCGTTAAAAGCAGAAGGGGATGAAGATTAAGACAGAAACCAGCTGATTACGGTGCTTGGGGACGAAGAAGACGTGTTTGACTGAACAAAGAAAGCAATGAAACAAGTGACAAGTTGAAAACATGGCAACGTTCAGAGAACTTGTAATTGATGGCCGTCGGCAACTTCACAAAAGCCATTTTTTCATGAGTTGGTGGTGACGGTGAGAGATCTCATTTAGTATATGTCGCCACTGACAACATGTGAGTAATTTGTAGCCATTTATCCCAAGTGCCACCCCACCCACCCACGTGGCTATATCAACGGCTCTGATTCCTTTTAGCAAACACGCCAATGATGGTTCCACTCCGGACATTTTGTCAAACTCATAACTGTATTTTGAAAGCCATCTTGTGCAACTACGTACGCTTTTGGAAAGTCTTGTGGTTCTCCTTTTATTTTATTTAATGATATTTTTTTTTATTTTTCAATGTATCTCTACAGCTGACAACCATAACACTAATCCATCGAAGCGTCATTTAAGTATTATATCCATGTAAGCAAGCAATGTTTAAAAAATTAGATTAAAAGTCTCAATTTTGATGATTCAACCAATAGTTGAACCAATGAGGTAATAAATAAATTAAAATTAAATAAAATAATATTAAATTCATATAATATATATTAAGAAATAAATTCAAAATACCTCTAGTTGTTAAAATTAACAACAACATGACCATAAATCAATACTATTATATGTTAATTTTATAAATTGTCAAACATATGTGGGTTTTCTTAAGGGTTCAATTTTTAGATTTTTTAGCATTATATATATATATATTAAGTTCAAACCGCCCATTTTATGTAAAAGCCATTTTGGATTCCAGCTTAGTTCTAGGTTCTAACTCAATGACAGATCAACCATGTAAACGATTTTCTAATCCAAATCAAACCTAACGAGTTTTAGTGGACAGTCTGACTGTCCAGCATGGCTCGATATTTGATTCTTAAAATACTGCATACAAGTTTCATAGCGAACAATCAAATCATATGCTTTTGTCTCTTTTCAGTCTTTTGTATGATATGAAAACGACACCGTTAATAGGACTCTCCACTCGCACGGCTATTCACCAATGACACTTCAGGCCGTGGGCCAAAGTTAACAGGCCGGCCCAAAATAGCCAACTTCACCATAAGGTTCAGAGACGTGAGATCCACAATCCATATCCATCTGAAATCCTACCCAAACAATGTAATGAAAACAGGGAAAAAAAGAGTAAGAGAGTCATCCATTGTTCGGGCCCGATAGTTTTGTTTTGGAAGTGCTTGGTAATATCGCATGCAGCATAATTGTACCAAAAACTTGTTCAAAAAGTTAAAAAAAAAAAAGAATTTCACTTTAAATAGTTCTATGTACTTCTCAATATAAATTTTGGAATCCACGTCAAACTCATGGATTATATTTAAAGTCATGTTAATTCCATTATAAAAATATTGTTTAACATGTCTCAATTTAAAACTAATTTAAATAAATAAATACATGATCATCAGTTGAACGAATTTGTTAAATTAAGCGAAACCATTGAATTAAGTTATGGAAATTTGGTTGGCAAAAAAAAAAAAGTTGTGGACATTTGGATAAGGATGATGACAGTTTTGCTCCCACTCCCACTCAACCGCCGAAATTATAGTCAAGTTTTAAATTCAAGAGAATAATATATCATATCTATGTACAACATTTATGTCCCAAAATAATTATAACTAGTTAGATTGACAGGAAAAAAATATATTTTTATTTTAATATAGATCTGTTAAAGATTAGAAACTAAAAATAATAATAATATCAAATCTGAAATATCAAGTTTTAATTCCAAAAGTCCAAATTTAATTCTCATCAATTTTTGACTAGTATATATTAATCATATAAAACTATTCTAATTTAAAAATATTTATGGGACGAGATGGGATTAAAGTAGTCTTATCCTATATCCCGTTGTAAAAAAAAAAAAAAAAAATATGCCTCGTGTTTTGAGACCAGAAAAGCCTACCTAAAAAAGAGCGGAAGAGAGAATTGAAAATGTAAAAAGTCTGAATAATTGAGTACAATTTTTCTGCTTGAAACAAACAAATCACAAAAGGTGCAATAAAACTATTACAACAACACAAGGGACAAAAAAAAAAAAAAAGAGTCATAACTCAGAAAATTCAACACCATACTTTTTTAATTCTAGGTACTGTAATAACATTTCTCAGATTTTCACTTCGGGTCTGTTTTCGCTCACGATCCCTTGGTGCTTATCAGTTGCTACACATCTTTTAGATTTTTTTTTGAATTTATATTTATATTTATTAAAAAATTTATAATATTTATTTTCAATTTAGATAATACATATTTAATTTGAATGGCTCAATTTAATATGAATAATTTTAATAGTTTTCATAAATTGATTATCTGGATATAAGTTTTATGGGTTCAAGTTAAAAAAAAAATCAAATAATATGAAAAGTACATATGAGTTCAATAAATTCATCATGGTTTGCGGGATTAAATTTTCAAAAACTTTAGGTCAGCATATCATAATTTTATGTGACACACTTGTAAATTTTAAAAAAGCTGAGATATTGCATTTGCCAACCCTCAAATTAACGTGGCTGTCATTAGTTTTTTTTTTTTTTTTTAACTATTCAATGTCTGTTTTCACTTTTCAGTTTTCATTTTCTTTATTTTTGCTGTAGTTCTTAATCATTCTGATCAAATTTTCAATGTCCAAATGTGTTTAATTTTTATTTTAATAATAATTTTTATAAAACATCAAATCTAAATCTCGTAAAGTTAATTTGATAATGAATGAGCTCTCAGTTTTTCGGCTGGAAAACAACATCAAATTATCAATGAAGACATGTTTTGGGCTTACGAAATTATAAATATTTAAGATAAACATTATTTATCTTCAATCAATAGCACACTAAACTTTAAAAAATAAAAAGGTAGAAAATAATTATAAAAAAACACACACACACACACACATATTTGCATAAATTTAATGATAGAAGGGATGCGTGGCGGTGATGAAAGTATATATAATGGTAAATGGACCCTCCAAATTAGAACTTGAAGAGAATACAATGCATCTTGGCCAATCATACAAGTCTCCCATGAACTAATGCTTCAGGCACGTAGGACCAACGCAGCTTTCTAGCCAAATTATATAAAACATATCGTTCAAAATCAGATTATGTTTCACTTGTACTTTCACAGCTAAACAGGATCGTTATCATTAATCAGCAATATCAATTTCAGAAATCTCTGTCTTTAAAATTATGCCTTCAATGTGTGTACATGTTTCAATGAGTTGAAGTTCAAGTGAATTAAGTCTCGTAAACTCGTTGAAATCAAGAGAAGTCTTATGACATGTAAAATGCTTATAGAGATATTTATAAATCATTCTCCAATAAAAAGTCCTTGCTTCATTGACAAGAATCAAACTCGTCGCATCCTTACGCAATGTGAGCCAACTTCTTACTAATTGAGTCACGCTTGTTCTTGTAGGTTCAATTATATATAACACAAAGTTCTAAAGTTATAATATTCTATTACGTTGTTTAAACATGAGTGGATTTAAGTTAACATGAGAAGTTTCATATCAAATAAACTTAAACTTAATAACTAATATCTAATAATATAGAACGACCCACAAACATGAGCAGTTTTAAATCAAGATGTGATGTTGTTTCACTGCTTTTCATCTATTTGTCCTCTCCCCTACAGTCCTATCATATATGAAGGTTTCTACAGGTTCAACTGCATTCCATGTATCTAACTGGTTAGACAACATGATTGATATATCAACTATCAAAGTCTATAAAAAGGAATTGATGGGGGATGAAAACTGAGAATCAAGGAAGGACTTTTTTAACAGAGTAATCTTCTCTCTTCTCCCACCTTGACCAATCAAGGGTCCGTCATGCCTTTCTCCAATGGCAGCCGATTGGATCAAGGACTCAAGCTTCCACTGATTCAGTCACCAGACAGCTTTGGACAGAAGTTATCTTCCCCACATTCTGCAGATTCTCCAGAAATTAGTAAGGTTGAGAAAAACATCTTCCGCTTTAGAAAACTTGCTTTTTTAAGTTCATCGCTTGATAACTTGAAGCACAAGTTCTTTCATTATATTGTTTGCAATTAACAGAAAGCAGTTGGATTCAAAAGGAAGAGAAGCAATAACAGGATTGAAGAGAAGCAGAAAGAAGTAATCCATGTCAGGGCAAAAAGAGGTCAAGCTACTGATAGTCACAGTTTAGCAGAACGGGTACGAGTACAAAAATCAAACCCCTTTACATATAAATATATAAAGCCACTCAGAGTTGAGATAATTCTTTTTTTTTTAATTAAATTTCAGGTGAGAAGAGAGAAGATCAATGAAAAGCTAAGATGCTTGCAGGACTTGGTTCCAGGATGTTACAAGGTTAATTGATCAGAACGGTCTTTGATGTTATGTTTGTTCAGAATAGTCTTTGATGTCATTTTTATGAATTTGCAGGCAATGGGAATGGCAGTTATGTTAGATGTGATCATAAACTACGTTCTGTCACTACAGCAACAGATTGAGGTGATTATGATGATGGTGGTATTATTCATTATTTTTCCCATTTTGGTTATCAAATATATCCTGACTTGCTGATATTTAAATTTCTCATTCTTTTCTTGAAAAAGTTTCTCTCCATGAAGCTCTCAGCAGCAAGCATGTGTTTTGATTTCAACACCTACGAGATGAATACCATCCAAACCATGCAGGTACACTTTAAAGTCATCTGTGTTCTGTGGTTGTTTGACGTGTTATATATATATATATATATATATATGTATATGTTTTTCTACACACGCTCATGAAAGGCTTGTGTGTTGCAGAGAAGTCCTAGCACAGATAGAGTCCAAGGGATGGAAAGGATGGAAGGAGAAGGTTATCAAGGCTTTGCTTATTGGAACCCTACATGGCCGCTTCAGTAGAAGAAGAAGAAAGTCTTTGGTTCTGCTGGAAGCATCCTTTTTTTCATACACATAAATTAGTTGGATTACTGTTAAGATGAAACTCTGTAAAACAAATATTGCATTGCAGGTAATAGCGAACTATACTTGTTAAGAATGGGGAGTGGTTGCTTGAATACATGTTGATATTCTGCTTTACAAAGTCATCAATATGTTCAAGCTCTGAAGTGTACTTTTCATATCCATGAATTTATAATTAAAAAGTGGGCTAAGTTCATCTCAGAACTCTCTGAATAATAGTGACAGTTTACTGCAGCAGCATTTTTTGCTACAGTTAAGTTAATGAAATATGGTTCACAATAAGAGAAGGCTTAACAAATAAGCCAAATAGAAGAGTCCAATTTGCAGAAACAGATACTACATAGATAAGTCCCATTAATTTGCCAAGCTCATAACACTGACATTGACAAATGAAGATGAAATATCCATGTGTCTACAATGTCGGTGGTCATGACCTGGGTTCACTGAAATTGAGATAGATCCATGATAGTTAGTAACATATTGGGATGTGATTCGTGTAATGTGATAGATCAAGTTTGTTGGATTAATAAATAAAGAGAGTGAAAGGGGCAAGTACAATGGATTGTTCATCAAAATTTGGACGGACTAACGTCTTTAAATGCTAAAGAAAGCTTCAACAGATTGAGATGCTTCATAAAGGTACAACAAACAAGAAAATGTGATGCAGCTTATGGATTTTGCGCGTGGGACAGCAAGACCACCTGATGGGAAGAAATAGAAATAGAAATAATTAAAGATATTCCAAGGATATTATAGATTTAAAATATTTTTCTCTCATATTAATTACGCATATTTTGTTTTAATTTGAGTTACTGTTATCTTTCAACATTTATTATTATCTTTTCATTTATTATTATCTTTTTATTTAATTTTAGAATTTCTAATATTTTCATGCATTTATTTCTAAGGTTTGGTTGAAGTTTATAAATAGTACCTTAACTCATTTGATTTGCACGCACATTTAATTGAAGAAGAGTTACTGTTATCTTGCTTCTTCTCTGAGTTTTCACGTCTCTCTTTTCTCTTTATTGATCCCTTTTTTTTTTCTATATTCTCTCCTTCTTTTCCTTCCTTATTCTGCATCACCATCTCAGTGTTATATGTACATGAATGCATATAATAATGGAAAAATCACATCCAGCCTCCCCTCAAGGAAATGAATCACAAATAAGAACTAATGCAGAATGAATTGTTAAAATAAGAACATGACTTTTTTTTTAATATAACTTATTGTTGGTCTTTATCTGTAATTAATTCTCTTGAAAGGACGTTGGATGTGATTTTTCCTAGAATAATTATCTTGACAAGTTGATAAGTACGAACAATAATGCATATCTTAGTTGTTACTTGGCAAGAGAATCTGCTACTTCATCCCACTCAATCTTCTCTCATTGAACTTAAGTTTACATCACTCGCCTTCTCATTTCATCATTGCCATTATGGAATTTCTGGATTACAAGAAATCTGTAGCTGGAAGTCGATCATATGGATAACTCAAACAATGACTCTATACTCTAGAGATCATTGTTGTTAAGAAGTTATGATTTCTTTGAATATTCTCAAAGGAAAGATGAATTTAAGTTTAATTTATCAAACCAAACCACATTAGCATTTCATCTATTTACAAGAACACTTTCGCGTGTATTTGGATGAGGGAAAAATCAATTTTTTTAGCAAATTACCCAAACAGTCAAAAAAAGACAAAAATTGATTCTGAGGCAAGACGCGCATTTTCCCCTAAGCTCCTTCCATCAGCTTTTGACAGAAATTTATCAAAAAACGTTAGAAAAAATTACAAAGAAAGCCCACAAAAAAATTACAAATAAAGCACATAATTTAATAAAAATAAAATCAAACTCTCTTCTCTTATCTTTTTTTCTTAATAAAATTCAAATTTTGTATCCTCAAAAAATTAATGTTTAATATTTAAGAATTAAATTATATAGTAATCTATATAGTTAAAATTGATTCTGATTAAATTATCCAAACATCTTCAATTATATTACAATTAATTTCAAAAAAATAGTATTCAAATAGATTGTGTTATAACATATTCAATTATAATTAAATCTACCACTTAATCAATTATTTTCATAATCTATTATACCTAACTGAAATCTAAATGAGTACTTCGCAAATTTCAAAGTTTTAACCAGCTTAGCTATCAATTATTTTACTCTCAAAGAGTGCTTTTCACTTTCAAAAAGCTCAAAATTGTTTGGGTATCAAATTTTAGCCAAAACAACTTTCTAGAAGTATATTTAGGAAAACGGCCAATTGTTTGGACAAACTTTTGAAAAAAAAAATATATCAAAATATAAATTTTATTATAATAATAACTTACTTTTATCTAGTATTTTAAAAATTAGATTGAACAGGCCAGTTCAACCGATTGAACTGAAAACCGACTCTTAATCTTGTTTGGTTGAGCCCTCAAAACTAGGGAACCGGTCAATGATCGGAAAAATCGGTTGAAAAACAGGCCAATTTCCTTGAAAACCAGGCTAAATTATTTTAAAATATAAAAAATTAATTTTAAAATTAATTAAAACAAAGAACCGTTAAGAATGATTAATATTAATCATGTATTCATTAACAATATATCATTTTATCAAGCATTTATTAATATTTTTTGAAAAATATAAATATTTGAATATATTTCTTACTTAATTATGATATATAAATTAAAAATATATTAATTTAATGTCAACTGATTCAACCATGGTTCGACTACGGTTGAACCAATTAACCGTAAACCAGTACCTAATCTGATTTAATAATTAGTTCAGTTTTTAAAACTTTACTTTTACTAAATAAACTTTTAACAAGCTAACTTTTGGCTCTTAAAAAACCAAAAGGGCCAAAATCTAGTTCTCTTTTGTATCATTTTAATTATTTTTTATTTTGTCCACGGCTTTTTGTTCAGTAACAATGCAACATTTCTAGCTTACGAAGTTGAGATTTGACAAGGAAGCTGGGTACCCGGCAAAAAAGGGAAGATGGTTTTAATACTTCAAAATTATTACTATCTAGTTGATGTGAAGTTTGAAAAATAAAAAATTATAATATTTATGGCTTATGAAGAATGCGGTTTATAATATCATGCAAGAGCCGAGATAGAGAAACACACACAAGAACGTGGATTGAAAAGTGCTTCTCATCATAGGATTCCATATTGTCGCTTGGTGTTTCAGGGTTGTTTGGTTAGTTTTGATTGACCAGTAGTTATGACTTTTGACTGTTTTCTCAAAATATCTCAACGAGATGGCAACGTCGAAGCGACATTTCAAAAAGATTTCTCAATTCGCATCACTCAAATTTCAATCTTTCCTCCTTAGATAAACAAATACCCTTATCCAGTTAACGCTGTCTAATAAAAGCACAACTTTACTAATTTTATTACAAATTGAATGTAGTGAAAGGGGATAATCTTTTTATAACATAATAAATTAATATTTAAATTTTTATTAAAAGAAATATCTATATTTAAACTTCAGTTGTGTCTAAAATAATATTGTCTTTAATAAAAAAAACGTGTGTAATAAAGAAAACAAGTACATTATTAAAAATGGAGAGTAATTGCTCGGAAACGATGGAGAAAACAAGTCTATCATTACATAACAGTTCTATTTTGAAACTCTAACATGTGTGCATGCAAGAGTAGCATAAAAATATCAAATCTTAATTCATAATTTTAAAGTTTAAGTTTATAAGTCATTTTCTTTTACTACATATTAATTATTAAACTTATATCAGTTCAAATTCACTTACATTTGTACAAACGAACATAAATTGTTGCTGGATTTTCTTCTAAAGAGTAAGTAATGCAGCACAAATTTATTTGGCAGTAAGCAAGCATGCTTCAGCATTGGTTTTGCTATGCCTTGATTTGAATGCGTAATGCTATGTGCCCCTCAGAGATGCACCGTAAAAGTTCTAAGCCGGTTTTATTCTTTTGGTCTAATGATATAATCTTGAATTTAAACAAGACCCTGTTGCTCTTCACTCATGTTTGACTGACCGGTGCGCTAAAAAAATCCAATTTCCTGTTTCCCAACTACCAAATAGACGACAGATGCCTTCATTTAAACACACCTTTGCGAGTTGAGATTTTGGGGCTCTGATCAGCAAACTCAGAAAATGGAAGAAGATCATGGAGGGACAGGGAAGAAGGTGATGGTGGCCATAGATGAAAGTGATGACAGTTACTATGCACTCATTTGGTTGCTCAAAACTCTCAAGGAATCACTACGAAGCAAGCCCGTTTTACTCTTCATGGTTCAGCCTGCAATTGATAGCAACTACATTTTTTCAGCTTCCCTTGGCTCTGCTCGCCTCTACTCTTTACTTTCACCCAGTTGAGTTCTACAAAATTCCATCCACTTATTACTGTCATGGATTCTTCTCCTTTCTTTGTGTTTGTTCTTGTTTTTCTTGGTTGCTTTCTTGCTGATGAACCTGTGTTCTGCTAAACATGTAGGACCAGATTTTGTGAACTCATTCAAGGAGAATCAGGAAAAGCTTGCACTGGCTCTGTTGGAGAGAGCCAAGAGTATTTGTGCTAGTCATGGGGTACCTTATTATTATTATTTTTTTTTAATAATTCTTTGGGAATCTCTGAATTTATTTTTCTGAAATCTGAACCATGTCTATACACTCGAGAGCTGTTTTGTTTGATTAACAGAACTTTTCCCTTTCCATCTATTAGTATGGGGAAGAAGTGGACTCTAAAAATATTACTAATTGAATTTGAAGGAAAAAGAAAAAATAAAATCAGACTGTATCCATTGTTTTAACATGAACTCTAAAATGGGTTTCATGAAGGGTTAGAGATGTGTTGGCATAGAGGTTTTAAGCATGTTGAAGTACAACTGGATTGTGTGGAAGCGATTAATCTCCTTACTAGAGACCAGCATTTTCATCACTTTTTCTATCAGTTTTATATATAGGGAAAACAATGGTATAGAGACTAGTTTAACTAGGAAAGCTCATGACTTTAGCTCTGATTTTTGTATTTATTATCATTCCCCACCTCTTTAGTTGGAGGCGACA